CGATCGACAATACTATTGCAAGCTTGCCTCACCGTTATGAAGTATGCATTTCAGTTAGAGGGTATCTTATCCTTATTGCGTCATGTTTCCATTGCACATGCTTCCAATCCATTTGTTTTATTGTGATATGATGGTCGTAATATATGTGTTTTTGTAGGTCATTGCTTTATTGTTTGCTATTTTGTTTGGTAATGCCACACCAACCTCTCGGATCATTTTCATGCATATCCATTAAATAGTTTTTGTTTTATTCCGTGCTCTGCCTTTGTTGGTTATTTTTTGAGCAGGAATGTATTTATATAAAACTTTTGATCATCTGCCAGCCAATCACAGCCCTCCCTGACGGCACATTCTTGGCGTCGCATCTCCAATTAGCAGCAGCTTCATTTCGTGACAGTCCGCCATCTGCATTCCACTGTAGTTTTTCGGAGTAACGGTCTTGGTTGGTTTTAGAAATCCATAGGCTTTTCACTACAACCACGGGAAGAATTTTGTCTTTTCCACAACCACACGACATCTATGTTATGAACAGACATTGACACGCACTTGCTTATCTTGCTATTCAGTTTGGGACTTTCGTCCAGGTGACTGTTTCCATGCAATTGCTTCGCCTAAGCCTGTAATTTTTTACTTTTCTATGTGTATTAATTTGTAAAGCTCATTTAACATTGCTTTAAAGTAAGAAAATATGGATTGTTTCATGTTGACTAAATAACTATTTTAAAAGATATTCATGAATATGTGAAAGAAAAGTTTGACTTTATACTGAATACATCATTTTTTACAAAAGACTTTCAAGAGAAGGACTAAAAACCACATAATTATATTCAAGCAAGGATTTTCAAAAATAAATATTTACAGCTATTTCTTGAAAAAAATTAGGACAATTTTTACGATATGTTGGGAGAAAATGAACTTACCAACTCCTTAAATTAGACTGAAATTTTAATAAGATTCTAAAGCTTGCATTTAGTATTATCAAATATGTTATATACAAAATTTTGTTATTTGAAAAATTATTTAGATCAAAATTTCATGATTTTTTTCCAAAGTTATAATTTTCTTAATTTGATAACAAGCTAACTATTTTTACTACAAGGCTTCTCTGTCGCTAAGCCGTTTTCTCTTTGAAGGGGCTGTATATAAGGTAAAAATATACAAATTAAAATTATAACTTAAATTAGCAATAGTCCTGTAATTCTTTATTTTAATTTGTATATCTTCCCTTTCTACTCTAAAAATAGCAATTGTTTATAGTAACTTTCTGAGCTGTGTCTTTTCAAAATTAATCCGTTTCTTGATTACTTATGTAATCCTACAATGCATAGGAAACTTTTGACTCATATCCATAGGAAACGTTTGACAATATATCTCAGGCTTTGCTGAATGCTCTGTCTCTTTCTGCTTTGCTGTCTGCTTGTTAAGACCCGTCGCTCGGCTTTGTGCTTTGCCCATTATCTAAGATGTAATTTCAAAGAATGCTATGAGGATCGGAGCTCATATCGCTCTTGTAATGATGTACAAAGGAGAATGTGTATCGAGAATGAAGTGTTCAGGAAAAAATTACATCTTGTCTTCAGCCATGTTTTTCGGCCGTGTCCTCATTATATCCACACAATAAGCCTCTTTAATTCTATTACAGCCATCTCCCAATCAGCAAGTATTTACATAATTTATTACACACATATATATGTAATGATTTTGAAGCTTAGTCGTGGGGGCATAGTGACGGGCTGGGAAGACAAACAGATGATGCCGACACAAGAATGAATTAGACGAATTCCCAATCCTTTTTCCCACGCATATAAAAATCATCTCAGTAGATATTTAGCGGCGTAGATGTTCGCGTGGCGGAAGCTCGGAGAAGAATGACGTAATTAATTCGCCAGCAGTATTTATACTAAGTCTGGTTAATTGTAGAGAAGAGCTATGATTGGTTGATTTAAGGTTGTTATATAATCATGGAAGGATCTCGAATTTGGGAGAAGAGATAAATTTAGGGGGAGAGCACCAAATTTAGAATCGTTAATTTTGAGGTCGCCAATTTATTTTTAAAGCAGCTATCGTATTTTCTTGTATCTTACATGTATATGTGAAATATAAAAAATACGATGTTTTTGCTCTACGCGAACACGCAACCTCCAATTAATTTTCCGCAATTTAGGATCTTCCCCCTAGACCAGTACCTTCTAGAATATGCTAGCGTATTACGTAACCGCTACTATAAATACTGAGTACGCGCCATTTTTTAATCAGACTGCTTCCTACTATCGCAGCTACAAGACTCTGCCCTGCTCTGTCCATTTTTCTTTTGTTAGAAATAGGTGATGACGCAAAAAGTTTAAATTCAATCATACTTAGTTAAAATCACTATGGATATGTAATTTAGAGAGTTTCATCTAAAAGGAAAATGATCTGCTAACTGGATTAAATAAAAATGTGCAATTAAAAGCTAAATCAATCTTGTCTCGTCATTTGAATTTCCCCTTGCCACTCTACAAAAGCAATGCCTGAACTTTGATGCCAAACTTCCTCACGACTGCTGGAAAATATCACATATATGTGTGTATACTAATAAGCATCTTGTATCTATTAGTAAGTAATCGGTTTCATATTAGAAATTCAGGAAGGGTTAAGATGAATAATTTATTAAAATGAGATCACGTGAAACAACAAATAAAGTATAAATAATCTCTACAGGCAATAAAAGAAAGAGTCTGTGTGTCTTTTCGTTCGTGCTGCTCGTAAGCTAATAGACTCAGGGCTAAGAAATTTGGTACATATAGGTGCATCTAGACAAAAGCCAGTGCACCTAAGCGATTTTTTTCAAAATTCGAATCAGATTTTTTTAAAAATTTTTATTTTATCTTTTTTGATGAAATCGCATCAATTTGAATAGTTTCATTCTTTTAAAAATGTGGTTTGGGCAACAGTTTTTTATTCAATGCTTTGTATACTGGACTGCTGACTGTTGAAAATATGAAATAGGATATTATTAATTATACACGCAACACGCACATCGCAATCTTCTCATTCTGACGCGCATGTGTCTCCCGCGAGGCACAACAGAAAGAATTTTCTTTCTCTCTCTCTTTCTCTCTTTATTAGCTAATGGCAAAGAAGTTTGCATATTTTGAATTGTTTTCTGATGATAGTTCCATTCTTTTAGAAATGTGGTTTTGGCAACAGGTTTTCATTCATTGCTTTGCATGCTGGACTGCTGACTGTTTTCTCTTGAAAATATGAGATTTATTGCTTATTTAATCGCAATTTTTTTATGTTTTAATTATATAAAAAGGTTTGCATGCCTTTTTTTAGGAAACAAAGTTCTTAACTTCCTTTATAATATTTGAATTCTTATAGTTGATTAATTTATTTATTAGGATAATTAATATTTGTGTTTGTTAAGGGTTATTGCTTATTTCATTGCAATTTTTTTATATATAATTCATTTTTATTGAAATTTCTGTTTCCCCTCTTTTTTTTTTTTTTTTTTTTTTTTTTTGATAAAGTTGTTCTGCAGAGTAAAATTCTGAGCAGTTTTTAAATTTGATGTATGGCATTTTCCTGCTACATTTAAAAGCCATACGAAGGCTGGCGGCGTAGCAGTTAGTTTATTATAAAGTTTTTGCATTTTTTACGATCCATTTAAAAAATCTAGCAAAATAATCTCAACCTGTTTTCGAATTTACTTTTTGCCTTGCTGTATATATTTATTATATAGAAAACTTTTCATTTTTATTTGTTTATAGTAACTTCTTAACAAGTCGACAACTTATTTATTAACTAGTTTACTTATTTTATGAGCTATCTGAGGAGTAAAAGTTGGCAACATATGTTCTTTTAAATGCTCCACTTGTGTTTAAATTAGTGAATGCCGTGAAGCTTACCTTTTCCGCCTTAATTTAATTAATTTTCTGAACATAAGTTTATTAATGGGTTTAAAAGGTACAAAATGCGAGGTCAAAAATTTATCAGTGAATATTTTAAGGAAAACTTTTCTGAAATTACAAAAACACCTGTTTTACGACTTTCATAGCATGATATTCGGTGAAATTCAATCACATTACTCAAGCTGACTGAAAAGGTTTGAGACTGATTCTCTCATTCAGAATAAGAGGGCTATACTTTTTCTATTTCAAATTTGATTCTTTTCTAAGGTGTTAGATTTTTCACAGTTATTTCGTAAACAATTCAAGAAACAAATTATTTTGCGAAATTCTCTTAGCATTCCAAGGCGGAGCGGTTTTCCCATTCTCGTCTGAAGAAATCCTCGACTCGCCTAATTACCTATTCAGTGTTGAAAATTCTCATGTCGGTAAATTTAAGTTATATGCAAGGTATTCTAGTTTTGACAGATCGATTTGAAAAAAATGCTGCTAATGCCACAGCAGCAATATATAGCCGAATTTCACCTTTAAACAAACTCTGTTTCTTTAGCAAATATTAGCTTTTTCTTCCTCTTTTACCTTACGAAAATGGCTTTCAAGATATTTACATTATACTTATTGTTGCCGGCTTCCCATGGGTATGCTGTGCTTGCATCCGTAACCGCAGTGGATAATTCGCCAAAATGATACTTACCGATCATTTGTGCGTTTCCCTTCTAAAGGCACCTGACACAGAAATATTATAATATGATTAAATGTTTCATCATTGTAAGCATAGTGTAACATGTGAAATATTTCTTTAAGGCTTTTCCTAAGTTTAATATAAAATCCAGTCACATCTCTGTCGTGCAAGACGTGTTGGTCTGCCATGGGAAACTGTACTGGTTATTTTAACTTCCTTGTGATTAATTACTGAAGATCATGGCTGCCCAACTTAAGTTTAAAAACGCCATTGCGTAAGTAAAGAATTTTCAGTTCTGAAGTTCTTTGGTATAATCATAGAAAATATTGTATAACTTTACCTCGTCTAGTAAAGGAAAAGAAAAATGGAGTCAATTTCATAAATCAGCCCTTGTGCCTTTCGAGTTACATCAATGAAAATCTAGGTTCTGCTTTCCAAATTAAATGTTTAAATTTATTAATTTGTGTTACATAATACAAAGGAATATCTATCATACATATACAGACTGCCAAGACTTTCAAAAAGTCAGTTTAATTCATTATACATGTTGTAATTAATACAAAGGTCCATTATTTAGGCGCTCTTCAACGTAGTTTTCAAAAGACGTTAGAGGACTTCCACATCCATTTCTTTTTATAAGCTGCTTTCTCACCATCTTCAATCTATGTGGGAGAAAAAAAGAAAAAAGTAATGTAATAAAGAAATTTTAGAATTAAATATAGTAATATTTATGAACATGTAATCTCTGACAATTTCTCACGAGACTCCACTTATTGATTAATTAACGCGGATTTAATTACCATAGAACAAACTTTTAAGGGAATTAATAAAAACTTAATTTCTTATAAATTATAAGCATTATCATAAAATCTCTAATTTGCATTTAGAAAGAATAACACCTTATCTCAACCATTTTTTAATTCGTACCACATTACTTGCTTTGCTCTCTTTTCGCATTAAAAAAAAGGAGAGAAAAAAACCGTTCTTTAAAATAAAAATAAAAAATCTGAAAGCTTTTTCAAATTTTACATTATGCCTACAGGGCTATTTTTTAAGGTAATGTGTGTTACCTTTATTTATGAAATATCATGTTCTTCGCACTTAAACCATAAAATACAGTTCTATTGAACTGTCGCACATAGCGACAATTTTGCAATGTCGCAAAATAATTTTAAAAAGAGCATATTTTTAGAATTTCGGATACACAGTCTCGCGCGCTGGAGGTAAATACTTTTTTTTTTCCGTGCAGTGTTGCCATTGCTCACTTTGAAATAATTGAGTTTGTTAATCAAAAATTTGTTAAAGTATTACAAAATATGAAATCGATAATAAAAACAAATTCCAAATTAGGGCTTCCAGATGGCCATATTCGCTGGAGGATTACATTATTATAAATTTGATGGCTCTAGGTACCATTATTTTATCACAATGCGAGAAAAATGTATGCATTTATGCAGATTCTTCATTATTTAATTTCTTTAAATATAACACAGAGCGATAATATTTGGTGGCAACAATTTGAAAAGTAAAACGGACATTTAAAGTTTCAGATGCAAAATGCCAAAACAAAATTAATAGCCGTTCTGGGCTAAAAAGAATTATCAAGCACACTTATATTTTGTTTTGGACTATTATAACTTCGTTCTGATAAGAGATCAGCTTGCACTTAAAACAAAAATTGGTTTCTTAAACATATATTTATTAATGTAGCATCAAGTAGGCTAAAAGATTTCAAATGAATGAAATTCCAGTTAAAAATTCCTCAAGAACCTGTGTCAAAAATCGGCTAAAACAAAACAATAAATTATTATGGTAGCATTTGGAGAGTAATATAAAGAAAGGTTTTACGTTTTCAATAGCATAATTCTCAATCAAAAATATATATCTCTAACTGCTTACCATTTATTGCACTACAATTTTAAATTTTGTGAACAAAATTGGATAGTAATGTGATAATCGAAACTTATAATTGAAAAATGTTATCATGCGTCATATAACCGTATATGTATGTACATAGTTACGTATCCTAGCATGGAACTATTAATAAACCATCGTTTTTATTGGACAATAGACACCGTGTTATGTAATCACTTCTGTAAATATTAGTCTGTTGCAATGGTATTAATAATTACATATTAAGAACTATTTGTCCTTACACTGCCAAATGAAAACTTGGTAAAAATAAATAACAGCATTTTAATTATTTTGTTTATGATTTGTTCTAAGTAGCTAAATCATCATTTAAGAATTCAAAAATAAAATTTAAGAATAAACCTTAATTTCTTTAACTCAGCTCAGATCCATTCATAAAATAATCATATATTAATTTCCATAGTTGGAAGTATGCAAATTAATATATGTAACTCGAACATTTATTTATACATACGATTAAGAAAAATTTGACAGTCCAGGTTTAAAAATGAAATAATTTAAATTATCGTTTAATTTCTGTTCAAAATTTCAGCGTCCACCTGAAAAGACAGCAATTTTCTCAAAGCATGTAGACGTGTAGACAAAAAAAAAAAAAAAAAAAAAAAAAAAAAAAAAAAAAAAAAAAAAAATTAACAAATGGAGAAAGGTATTGTATACATTTTTACTGAAATATAAATGAAGATTGTGATTTTTTTTCCTAAAGAGTGAATTTAGATATAGTATTGATCACGTAATACTATTGCGAATATGAGCATCTGGAAGCCTAAATTTGAAATTTGGGAATTTGTTTTATTATTGATTTCATATTTTGTAAAATTTTAACGAATTTTTGATTAACAAACTCAAGGATTTCAAAGCAAGCAGTGGCAACGTTGTACAGGGGAAAAAAGCACTTTTATCTCCAGTGCATGAGACTGTGTATCGGAAATTCTAAAAGATCTGCTCAATTTAAAATTATTTTACGATATTGCTCTTGAAATGAATTTTTATGGTTTAAGTGCGAAGAACATGCTATTTAATATATAAAAGTAACACACAAAATGTAAAAAAACGCCCCTTTGGACGTAATTTATAATCCGAAACCTTTCGGATTTTCTTCTAAAACTTAAGCATAAAAACGTTTTGGACAGAAAACGTTACATTCATCAACGATTCACGATAAAATCATTTATTTATATTTCTTATTTCATTCATTATCTATAAAAACCCGAGACAAATTATGAATTCAACACAGAATAATTAACCAACAAAAAATATGCACTTTAACCACAGTCTTTTAAGTTATGTAAGATCCCTAAAGATATGATTAGAGCAATCATGGCATGGCATTTAACAGAATATAAAATCTTATTTCACTTACTTGTGAGCCCCAAACCTCAAGGAATTTAAATTATTCTATAGACACCAGTGCGACATTATTACAATTATTTTTCATATATACCACTGAGCTCTTTCTTAGTGGTGCAAGTCCAAAGAAAGAAAGAAATACGATTATTTAAGCCTATATGGAAATAGTGAACAAATTCTCATGAATCCAGTTCCGAAAATAATTCCCCAGGAAATGATTCATCATTACACTATAAATGGTGCAACTTGTTACCATAAGCAAAAACATAAAACCTGAATCTCTTCAAACATTACACCATTTAGGAACTAAATGGCCAACTATCCCTACAGTAAAACTCTTTAGTTTATGCAAGACATCAATTTTTTTCTTGTTTTTGAAATTGGAAATGTAAACCTCTCTTGGAACTACAAATTTCTGAAATAAAAGACATTTATGCTCGTAAATAAGCTGTAACGTTTTATAAATATTAAAGAAAATACTACTTGAGAGACTTGTGAGATTCTGAGACTCAGAAGTAATTGACTATTGAATAACAAAAACGATGTAGTAAAATGTAGTAAAGCAACGCATTAATATATTTTATGTGTCATTGAGCAGAGAAGGCCTTATCGATGATTCGGCTTTATCAGTGATGATCATTGATAACGGTGATAAAGTCTGGAATCTGGTGTTTTGATGTCGCAATGTCCAGGCTATGGCAACCTCACCTGTGTTTGAACCAGCTGTGGAATTCAGGCATTTCCTGTACTCTCATCCCACCTTTCCCAAACTCGAAATGAAATAATGCTGCTTGGAGTTAATGTCATTTATTTTGATTAATAGATTTAGAAGATATGATGTCAGATAATGAAGAATAGAATCTTTGATGATTCTCCATTATTTTTCGAAATCACTTTCCGGTTTGTTTGTTCAGGAAGTTGATTCCATCATATCAGCTGAACCGCCATATTCTATAGAACATCATTTTATTGCAGATGTTATTTCTTTTTAAGGATGAAGCGGCAGAAATGGAAATGTATTTTGGAAATCTACACAGTTTTCTGATTCTGAAGATTGAGCTAAGCTGTTGTGTACTCTAGAATCGGTTCTGATCCCAGTATTTTATTAATTCGTAGACATTTAGATTCTCATAACTTATCGCTTTAAAGCGCATTATATTAATTGAAAAATATGTAGTCGGTGGTTTTTAATACTTTCTGTTTAGGAAAAGAAGGATTTTGTAATGCGAAGCTTTTTAAACTTAGTAAAAGCAGAATTCTTCAAAACTTAATGCTTATGAATTTTTAGCACATTAGTTCACATCCATTGGCATTTTATTTCTATAGTTCTATTACTATATACAGGGCTAGAGCTAAAGCCAATGCGAGCGGTAGAAGTTAGGACCGGTAAAATGTTTAGGAAGACATAGGACGCAAATTTAGGAAGACATAGGCGCAAAATTTAGGAGACGAGAAGATTGCACGGACCACAAAAAGTCTAATACCGGACCTACAATTCCTATAAAGTGCAAGATTTATTTTATCCAATACGTTATTTTTATGTTCATCTTTCCTACAGTTTTTATTTCTATTAGCAGCCATCACCTGATCACAAATTAGGTTAAGCTAAATAGCAAGTGAATTTGCAATTTAAAAAGAGAATGAGACAATTGCCCGGAAAGCAATTATCTACAGTGTCGTCCACTTGTGGGCCGATCTAGGTCTGGTGAGTGATTTTTGAATTTGTTAGCATAGGGCTAGATGTCTTGGTAGCTGCTGTCTTGCAAAACTTAGGTATATCTATAAAATGTAATTTTAATATACTTTTCAGTTCAGTTTCAACTTTTGTCTGTGGAATGGAGTTTCATACAGTTAAATGCGAAGATTCATGGTTTATAAAAATTCATGGTAAGCACATGATGTTAAACAAGAAATATTTTGCTAATTAATTACATTTAATTACGGAAAGCGAAAAGTATAAGATGAGGCTGAAAAGAAATACAAACATATACGTATGTAAACAGGGAAGACTTGGAGAAAACTGCGGAGGCGATTGGCGGTGGTTCTCTGTGTCGTAGCATGGAGAGGCTTTACTGCGTAATTAGAAAAATGACACTCGAAAACAGGCGTAGCCGTAAATTTCGCACATAATTTTATTCCCGGATAATGAATTCTGAGGACAGATATTCTTTTTCATTTCACATCATCATTGTGAGTAATTTTATACAGATTATATTTTTAGAACAATGGACAATAGCTGGCAAAAGTTAAGCGAGAAAAGTATAGAGACCTAGCCATAACAGAGATAGAAGCAAAAAATGTGCAATAACCTAATATGGAGGCTCACAAGAGAAGGTTTTCGTTTATGTTGCTTATTAAGAGAAAGGTTAGTTCTCGAAATTTT